AGACGTTGCTGAGTTTCCTCCGATAAGTACCGAATTTACGGGAAAAATTGCGAAGATTATTTTCCAAAATTTTCAGACAATTTTGTACGTAATTCAATCTAAAACACCCAAAAATTTCAAGGGGAAACATGTATAAATGTCGTCAAAAATACACGTTTTATCGAGGGAAATATGGCAACTCTCGAATGTTCATACGGCGTTCTTCCTTAGCACGGCAGCATTCTTCTGAGGCGCAAAATCCTATTAAGGTTAGATTGTAGTCCTATCTTTTCGTGTAATTTTGGTCAACTTTAGGTACACTTTTTGAGAGAACCATTTAGGAAGTTGAAAATGGGCATGCATGTGTGTCATAATAAGGAGATTGGAGCACCGGAAAAAAAACACATTGGACCGAGAGTCCAGACTCTTAAAAACATCGACAAGAAAAAATACTCTTGATTTAATCGGATTTTTGCTCAGATCAAGAACCAAGCCTCTTAATTTGAGCGGATTTCCTTTGGATCTAAGCAAAAGTCTGATTGAATCAAGAATATTTTTTCTTGTCAATGTTTTCAAGAGTCTGGACTCTAGATCCCATGTGTTTTTTTCCAGTGAGTTAACAATGTTTTTCTACTTTTTTTTAAATTATCTTTTTAATTTTTTTATTTCAACCCATCATTTGACAACCCTGCTTTTCCCCGCTGAATATAAAAAAAAAAAAACAGCGCATTGGCATCCACCCCGATTAACCCGCAATCCATTCAACAAATAAGCCGTGATTTTAAAATTGATAGGTTGGTTTTCTGAGTGAAGCCCTCTGCTCTGATGAGCGGGATTTGTCCCCCTTTTTTAATCCAACATATCCCGTCATGTCGTGTCAAATTGTCAATCTTCATAGCAAAGAAATTCCCATTTGTCAATGAAAATTAACGTGCAGAGTGTCAATTGTAATTTTTCAGCAAAATAAATAATCTGGGTACTATTCGAAACTTTGTTACTCTCATACGTCAGGTAAAATAATAATTCAAGCATCGTTTTAAACAGCTGGCACCTGCTTCCTTGAGTCCTGTATTTCCGCCCTCTTTCATAAAGTAACACCGTATAAGGAGTCGTGACTCATTTGATCTTTTTGCCGAAACTATGAGTTTTGAATTGCAAAAGCCCTTGATTTGGCCATAAAAGGCTTTTTGAAGCTATTGGTCTGATTGTAATTTTTTATTAATAAATTTTTGCCAGCAAAGAAGCGAATAAGGTTGTTCCTCCGAAATTGATACGATAGTGAGAGCTAACGGCAGAATAATTCAGGTGTGCTAGCCGAAGAATCACGTTTACATTGTTACATCCACTGAAGGAACAAAAAATCATCTCATTATTTGAAACGCCTACGTCAAAGATTAATTACTGTGTCTATTGCCCCGCAGAAAACACGGTTAAAAACATCATCCATCGTAATAGAGTATACGATGGTTTGTTTCATCTTGCTTCCGTCGATAATGTACCAAGGTCGCTCCAAAAGATGGGCATAACTTCTAAACTAATGCGTTAAAATAAATTTTATGTAAACCCCTTTATCGTTACACTATACGTTCAACTTTCTAACGAGATATTATTGTGTCAAATTGGGTTCCTTAGAGCGCCAGGAAAATTGAAAAACCCCACCTCCACATTAAACGGGTTCAAGCTTCTCGCTTTTAGCCCGACCGAAAGTACAAGAAGTAAGACAAAATTAAACGAAGAGAAACAGCAATTTTATTTGGATGATGTCTACCCACTTTGCAACAAAGGAGTCCTTTTTTTCTAAATTGTAAAGGCCTCCTTGCGCTTAGAACAAGCATTAAGAGAAAAAGTTCAAGACCTCAAACCAATCAAGTCATTCTCACCCACGGCAAGACGAAGTACGATACTGTTCCGCTTGGACCACTTAAATTTTATAGCAAAACTTTAAATGGGATATTTTTTTCACCTTTTGTTCCAATCGGATCTGGCATCAAAATACTTTCACGTTTTTTCAAGCTTGAAGGAGCATCTTCGTGGCAAAAGCTTTGCAACTGACAGTGAAGTTCAAGAAGCCGTCAATTATAGATAGGTATAATCGTTGAGAAATCAGGATAAACCGTTCCACGCTGAGAGAATAAGCGAGTTTTCAAGCGTTGCCGAAAATATATATTAAGACAGGGATCCACATCGCGAAGAGTGAGGTTCGAAAAAACTTAATATTTCTATTCCACTCTAATTCAACTACCATCCAACATCCACCATCATGTTATCCCTACAATTTTGTATTACTCCTTGTCTTCACAAAAAACGTTTCTGATATTTTACTGAGTCGACTTCAAGAAACTCTATCCCGTTAAAGGCAGGAAATATAGTCATATCAATGAAATGCTCAAATCCATGTTGAAGTTTAGAAATTACGGCAAAAAAATATTTACTTTTCGAATGACTCTCTTTTGTATGCAAGTTGTGACTGAAGCAAGCGTGTACGGTTTGCGTAGAACAATAAATGGAATTCAGAGCGTTACTCATTGATGAAACCATGATGAGAGAAACCACATCATGGACTTTTGCCGCGAATGACATCAGAAGCGTATGATTTTCTTGTGTTCGATAAATTAACCTTTACTGGATTAGTCTTCTCAGAGGGAGGTGGTAAAGTAATGCCGGATCCGCACTATTTTGCGGGGAAAGCAAAGCTAAACAAGCAGTGAACTCCAACACAATGTGTTGATAAGGCGCGCCATTAACTCGCACATATCAACCCCTTTAGTTTTCATTTACAGAGATTTCAAAATAGGCAAACAGCATAAAAAGAGAATTCACGATCCAACACTGCGAGGTCAAAGACGCACCTTGACGAGACCGTGTATTGTGAAAGTAGAAAGCTATTCGATCGAATTTAAGTTTTTTGATCTGCCTCAAGCAAAATCTTATCAGATTCTTGAAGAAAAGTGCTACGGAATAATTTAAGCGAAGAAAGGAAAAATTCTGTCGAACTCCTAGAAGATAAAGTCGATTTAAAGGTATTTTGGGGCTAAAATACCCAAATCACCGGTAGTAAAAATCCCGTTATATTATTGAAAAGAAATTGACTCGATATAAATGCAATTGCATTAAATACGTCTTGATTTTGTTATTTTAAACGTCTTTCCATGCAAAGAAGTTCAACCATGTCGTTGCTTTATTCATTCATGAATTGAAAGTAAGCAATCTACATCCCGAAAATCTACTGATTTGCCGTAAAAAATTGCAGAAACTTGATATACCAGGTCGATGCACCCACTCGTTGAATTTACCAACCAATTTTGTGAGTGCAAATGTGTAAGAATCAATATGCTA